CGTTAGTCGCTTGGCATCATTAGTGGAAGTTGATGGCCTGCTGCATGGTTGGCGAAACTGGCATAGAATGTTGAGAGGAGTTATTTCTTTCCACAGTCCTCTCTCGTGTAATCAGGGAAGTTTGGTGTTTATTGCGTCGGTTCATGGGATGGGGGGTGGTTCAGATACAGAGAAGGCTTGGTGGTTTTTCTTCCCTCACCCCTTTTTCGGAAATGGGTCTTTTTTTTTTATTCTGGTTGGTTCAACTTGTTCATTTTCCCTCTAATTTGATGGCATCACGTCGGTAACCGATTGAGGTTGCTGGCGGCGGCAAAGGCGTATGGGAATACAGAAGTAGAGAGGGAGTGAGAGAGAGAAATTCAGAGAGAGAAGAGAGACAGAAGAACCGACGTTTGAGTTGTTGACATTATTGTGTGATGAGAGTTGAATACCGTAGTGAGTGAGTGGCTGGCTGGCATCGCCTGGCTGGTTGCGGATATGTAGTGTTTAGTATGGAAGCATATTGAAGCTGCATTGGACGGGCAACGTATAGTCTCCTGTGAGATGTGAAATTTTTGAACCAGATAGAATGAAGCGCAGTCTGCTGATCATGTACGTCTTACGTAGAAGATGGAACAGGTATAGTGGAAGGCATGTGGAGAGTAGAGAAGCCCAACATCGGACATCTGTACTCTTTCCACCGTGTGATAGGGAATAAGTAGTAAATGTACCACTCCTTACAAAGCGTCAAGTGGAAGCTGAGAGCCCGCAAAGTTCGCAACTACCCTCATCGGATCTGTCACGCCGATGACGACGGGGGGGGATGGACCGCAAACGAGGTCTTGGTCTTGGCGGTGAGCCAAGGGGATCGATCTCACAACGTCTTCGAAGCCCGGATGGATTTTGCCTCGCTTTTCTAGCTCCTGGTTTCTCGCTAAATAGTCACACGCTGTGATACTGTCATGACGCGTGCCTGTGAGTCCGTGACGACCGTCCACTTCGTGCCGCTGTCACTCACCCCTTGGACGCGACGCTCCGACGCAAAGGAGACGAGACTTGGACGCCGGAGTCTGGACGCTCGCAAACGGCCCACTTTGGTCTACGGAGTAGTGGTAATGCGGACGTCCAGTCACGGCATCACCTAGTGCAGTACCTTTTGATAAGTGTGGCTGTTCGTGGCGCAGCCATCACGACTGCTACTGGGACACTACCTTAGTCGAATCTGTACTCCGTACCCAAGGTACGGAGCATCCGTACGGGACACAAATGCATAGCCACCACCCGCCAATGGGCCGGTGCCACAAACGTCGACAAGCCCCCCAAGAAAATTTGACGTCACTCTCGGCACGTGTCGGCCGGCTTGGTATGCATCTGTGGCGTTCCCATTGGCTTGCGAGTGGGGAAATCACCCGCTTCGATAGGATAGGTACGTATATCACTATCAAAAGCATCGACGAAATCCATACAATTACGGATACTAGCCTCCCAGGCCGGCAGGTAATTAAGAAACGATGTAGGATTGGTCGGCCGGCATTTAGCAGAAGACGCGGGTGGGAAGCTTGAATTTCGTTTGAACGAACCCCTGTTCGTTCGGCGCAACGACCAAAAACGAAATGCCCTTGGATGGGCAAACATAGGATGTAGGACGGTGTTTTGGATGACGCGTCTCGGCGCCCGTACGCACGATCGGTTGTGAGTTGGATCAGCTTCTTTTGAATTTCAACGGCCCTGTATCTTTCTCGTCACCGGTGGCAAGAGGCACATTCAGAATACGTATTGTACGCATTGAGCCTTCTGTAGCGGAAAAAAAAAAGAAGAGACAAGGGTAGGATAGAAAAGTATCGTGCTGTTGTTGTTTCCAGTTGTCGAAATTAGGTTGTGACAAACGGGAAAGAAAACGGTCTAGCCGGTAGGGGAGAGGAATTAGGTTGGACGAGAGAAGGGAAGGGAAGGCACAGCGGAAGGGAGGGAGGGGGGGGCATTGGATGGAAACAAATAGTGCCGGTAACCTTTTGAAAATGCAAAAAGTAAGGCGATGGGCAGGAACAAGCAGAATGTTCGTCAAATCGGCCGGGGGTGAAGAAAAAGCTTTGGGAAGTTTGGGAGCGGTTCCCCGTGCGCTCTTTGAGGCCCCGAGCGCCCTCTTTTGCAACGGCCCTCAACCGTTTGGGGCTTCTTGACGGAGCGGTCATGGACTCATGACTCTTGCAATAATATATCCACTGCTTAGATCCTTTTGAAAGGTCAAAAGTGGTGCGGAGTATACGCCAAAGAATATGGACGCAAGGTGATTGTTGGATCAAGTTGCTCTGTTTCGACTTCGCAAGAGGAGTGTATAGCCGGGCGGAATGCAACTCTGCAGTCTACTACGCTGGAGCGGAGGAGGATCGTCTCGCATAGGGGTACCTGGACCACGTGTGTCGTCGAGAGAGAGGTGCCAGCCACTGAGGTGCGAGGGTGATCCCCGACTGATTGATAAGGCAGGTTTGGCAGGAAGGCGGCAGGCCGGCTGGCTCCAGAGTTTTGGGACGTCAAAGTTATGGATTATCCATATCTCGAATTGTGCCACTATGAAATCCCCCGGCCGGTATGTAACTTTTCGATAATGACACGCGGGGTCGACTGCCCGGCCCGGCTTCTTCTTGATCCCCTTTGATGAGGCTTCTTACAGTTTTATCAACAACAAGGGCGAGGAGAACGAGAAACATAAAATGCGCTACTGCATGATCTGAAAAGCAAGAAAGATGGGGTCCGGAATCCGGTTCATGTTTCGAGATTGTCTCTACCACGGAACCCATCATCTGTAATCGGTGTCCTTGGCGATGCTTGGCGCACGTTGCGAGTTGAGCTGGGGATGCAGAGGAGCAAGAGCAAGAAGGAGAGTCGAGAAGTCCAAGAGTCCGTCGTGGCTCGGTTTCTAAGTAGAGCACAGAGTATGAATACATCGAAGAGAGAGAAGTGCGTGAAGAATCGGTGTGGGTGAGGCTCGAGCGAGAAGGTTGTTTGCTTGATCTCCGTCCGGTAGAATGTCCCATTTCGGCCTTCCAACTTCGGCCCTCGAACAATGCTAGTTTCTGGTTTTTTGGACGGTGTGTGTCAATGTGGCGTAGGTTAATTGATCAGAAACTGCTACAGTAAAGTGCTTGAAGGCTGTAGTTGCGTTGAGCTGGACTATGGAAAGTGCTTGTCCACCTCTGCTGCGGACCTAGCCTGCGTACGGAGTATAGTGGTAAGGATAGAGGGTTGGGACGAGGATTTGGCATGGGAGGCCGCGAGGAGATTGCGAAATTGGACGCGAATATTTGCGAGTGCAACTCTGTCATTCTGTGAGGCTCAGCTGGCGTCCGGGCGGAGCGGAGGGAGAGGGTGGTCCTCTGCTGGGAGGAGAGTTGTTTAGCACCTAGGGGAGTCAGAGGGGGAGGGATGGAAGATTGGAAGAGGAATTCCATCCCACTTTCCGTCAAGTGTTAGTCGAGTCCCCTGCCCCTCCCTGCCTGCGTGAAGGTTAATGCTTATTAGTGTGTATCCACTGTGGCTCGACGGAGCCAATGGGTTCGAGGTTGCTGATGAGGCGGAGGATGGGCGGTGGTTGTTGTGGTCCTTTGTTGAGAGCGGGAGCCTACAACTAGAGACCGACTGACCGATTGACCGAGGGAGGGACGGGACCTGGGGGGAGGCAAAATGGCGAGGTCCGATAGGGCAGAGGCCTCTTTTCCCTGCAGCGAGTTGATGAGGTGTGATATCATTGTTGCTGTGTTTGATCTGGGCCTGCAGGCGATGGTGGTGGTGATGATGATGATGATGGAAGAACAGTGACAGCATGTGCATGCATCTGGATTTCAGGATTTCTGGATCCAGATTCCAGACCCCGTATTACCTTACGGAGTAGGTCCTCGGTACAGAAATGGTGTCGTAGTTTGCAGTGTAGCCAAGAAGGCCAAGGGGAAGAGGCCCGTACACATTTCCATGGCAAAAGCTTGGTTTATTGGTACAACCCCGGGCCCAGAACTCTGATGTGATGTGGATGCGGATGTGCTGGATTGTCTCTGTTTGAAGCTATGCTCGTGCTTGCTGGTCGTCCAACCAATGACTTTGGATGTGTGTCCCACAGTGATGATTGCAGATCCCAAGAGGTCCAGTTTCTCAGAAAACAGGAGACGACGATGCAAATAGCAGCAAATGAGGAGAGAAGAGAAGCTGGGGATGACGAAGTACCGGGAGTGGGATAGACAAAGAGGCAACGGGGGAACAAGCTGAGGCTTAGTGACCATAGTGACCTTGGGAGATGGAGAAATTGTGGGCGCGCCACACCAGCCTGAGGCACATGACCAGCGGCCTCTTACTGGATCTGGTTGATTCACGGTTCATCCACCCAAGACATTTTGCACCAAGGCGATTGGCCCCAGACAAGCCAGGCGCGGTGACGGGGAGCCCCTGCTTTGCTTGTTTCCCGGCGGGCCCTGCCATGCCTGCTTGTTTTGCGTATCAGAGAGAAAGACAGAGACGGTGAATACGTACCTCAAGACCAGAGACGATGGAAAGTGCAAGAGCGTCCTTGCAGCGGTACGCTTCCCCGTTCCCGCCGTCCCAACGTCTTGGAGGTACCTGCTTGCTCGCCGCGGCAAGGTTCCATTGTACCTACCGTCACCCGTGCTACCTTCCCTCTCCTCTGCTACCTTAAGGTGTCTAGTGTACGTACTTACGCAACTGCGCCAGAGCTAAGGGTACGTCTCTTCCCGGTCCGTGTCTGTCGCCTGGGGACGTTGCCTCTACCTTATCCCCCCCATGTCTATCTCTTAGTCGATTCGACCTTTAAAGCATCCCTCATCTGTCGCCGTCCGACCACATTCCCCTTCTAGTCCTCTTCTCTCCTTGTCCGTACTTATTCTCCTCCCGAAGCTTGTCTTCACTTTTGCGTCTCTAAGAAACTCCATTGTGTGCCATCGCCAAAAAACACTCTACTCTTTCCCCAAAGAAAACCGCGCTCCAGCCGAGACACGAGTGTCCGGTCATCTATTTCGATGAAGAAAGCCTCCTCTGATCCCCCCAATATAGACACCAGAGGCTCTGGCGCAGCAGGATCAGCGCATGGCGTCCGTCGCAGCTCCTCGAACCGATCCCACGGCAATTCGGCAAACATAGTCACCGACTCAATAGACTTGTCCAGCAAGTCTTCTCTTCCCGCTACCCAGCGCAACAATACGTTCGACACCACGGCTTCTACTACCAATAGCAGTAATGGCGTCGCCAATGGCGTCTCCTCTCACATCACGAGCTCTTCTGCGAGCAACAACCTCACCCTCACATACCCGGACGACATCAATGAGAAAACAAGTCCCCGCGACCTCGAGGATGTTGCTATATCTTCGAAAACTTCGCGGCAGGGGGCTGTCGTAGACGAGGAGGGTGCTTTGAAGAAGAATCAAACTCCCGAACAGAGGCAGAAACCTGGCGTCTTTGCCCGCTTCTACCTCACGTGTAAAATGATCCTGTTCCACAGCTGGGTCAACGTGCTCCTCGTCTTCGTCCCCGTAGGCATCATCACAAAAGCCCTCGGCGTGAGCCCCGGCATCGTCTTCGCAATGAATGCCATCGCCATCATTCCACTCGCTGGCCTGCTCAGCCACGCCACCGAGTCCGTCGCCAGCAAGCTTGGTGACACCATTGGCGCCCTCCTGAACGTGACTTTCGGCAATGCCGTCGAACTGATTATCTTGTAAGTTTTGCCTGACTCTATTTCCATTCTTCCCTCCAAGCCATTCTACGAGGTGGTTTGGGGGAGGCTCGCGGTGGGGAAGCCCAAAGATCCAAACGTGTTGCGGCTTGTCTTGGCACCTGTCTTGGCCAAGCCGCTCACTGGATCTTGGCCCTGAATATCTCGAACCTTGCAACCCTCTGGATGTCTTGGCGCAGTCTTGGCTAATGCTTATTTCTCCAATCCAGCATGTATGTTCCTACCCTTCTGCGGGTGACAAAGACGAGAAAGAGACGAGAAGTCTACACCAAAAGACACCATCACATCAATCAAGTCCCAAATCATGCAGTTCTCTTCTCCCAATGTCAATTCACGACCTACAAATCGGTCGTTATTTTCTAGAGTATACTTTGTTGCAGGTTTGCTAACATGTACATCTTCTGCGGCTCTTCAGCATCGCGCTTGTCAAGGTAGGATAGTCTAACATGTAATTTCAGCGGACTTGCTTGCTGACTTGGACCCAGGATGAAATTCGCATTGTTCAGGCGTCCCTCCTAGGCTCTATTTTGGCCAACTTGCTGCTCATTTTGGGCATGTGCTTCTTCCTCGGTGGCTTGCGCTTCCGAGAGCAGGTGAGTTCAATCGGCTCTTTTGACGAAATTAGTACTGTACTGATACAGTCATTAGATCTACAATAGCACCGTCACGCAGATGAGTGCTTGTCTGCTTAGTTTGAGTGTCATCAGTTTGGTGCTTCCTGTAAGTTTTCTGAAGCCACACCGGAAAATATCCTGAAACTAACCACTTCCCAGACTGCCTTCCACGCTTCATTTCAAAACACCTTCAAGGCTGAGGATGAGACTCTCAAGATTAGTCGTGGTACCAGTGTGGTGAGTACTCTATGATGTACTACCCAAGTCTTGACTGCTAATTTCATGTAGGTCCTCCTATTGGTATACATCTTGTACCTCCTGTTCCAGTTGAAGTCTCATGCCTACATGTACGAGTCTACACCGCAACACATTGTGGATGCTGAGTCCGCTCCTGGCCCGGCCATTGGTTTCTTCGACTCTTCCAGTTCTGAAGATAGCTCCGACTCCGACTCCGATTCAGATGCTTCTGACAGCTCTGGAGGCACTGTACGCAAGACAATGAGAAAGGTCATGCGCGCCGGTAGAAGGCGCAAGTCTAGTGTGGTTTCTGTCAACACCGACGGTCTCCCCCGTACCCGTAACTCCTCTGTCGGTACAACTCACGGCTCTGAAGGATCCGCCAGTCGTCCAGCCATTCCTCGCTTCAACTCTGTCGGTAGCGATGAGGCCGTTGAGGAAGACAGGTCTCGTAAGCACAGAAAGCATCGTAGACGTCATCACAAGCATCAGAAGAAGTCCAAGAAGGCCTCCCGGAACAACCTTGTCGATGTTGAAGGCCATGAGCCTTTGACCAGCAGCGCTCAAGCGGGTGAACCCCGCCGTCTGGACTTTGCCGATCAACCCGCTGGCCCCTCGGAGCCGACCGATACCACTCAAGCCGCCAAGAGTCGCCCAGTGTCTGGCCTTCGCGGGCTGTCGATTAAGAACTTCGCCCCCGCTGTCTTCACCACACCCGACGAGACCCCATCCGCCGGCCCCGCTGCCCCGGCCGGCCCAGTCCCCCGAGTCCGTTTCGGTATCCGCCGTACCAACTCCTTGCCTGACCGTCTCAACCAGTATGGGAACGTTCGCCCCCCCGGAGGAGTATTCCCCGCCCAGATTCCTGGTGTCGCAACTGTCAACAGTGGTCTGAGTGCCAAGGACGAGACTGCCGACAATGATCACCTATCCCGCACTGCTGCCGTCCTTCTTCTGCTCTTCTCCACCGCCCTTGTCGCCGTCTGCGCCGAGTTCCTTGTCGACTCCATTAACGAGGTTGTCAAGACCAGTCCTCTTGGCGAGATCTTCATCGGCCTCATTATCCTCCCCATTGTTGGCAACGCAGCAGAGCACGTCACGGCCGTCACTGTCGCTATGAAGAATAAGATGGACCTGGCCATTGGTGTTGCCGTTGGTAGCTCCATCCAGATCGCCCTCTTCATCACGCCCATTGTCGTCATCATCGGTTGGGCTATGGACCGCGATATGTCGCTGTACTTTACCTTGTTCGAGACAGTCTGCTTGTTCGTTTCAGCTTTCATTGTCAACTTCCTGGTACTCGACGGAAGGAGCAACTACCTTGAGGGCGCTTTGTTGTGTGCAACATACATCATTATCGCTGTGGTTGCTTTCTTCTACCCCAACTCGGACGAGGCGAGCTCCTTCGGCGCCTGAATTTGGGGGAATGAGGTCGCATAATAGGACATGATTCTTATGCTATGCGGTTGACATGATGGGGAGGAGTGGTTGTTGGTGAAGAACAACTTACGACGCTTCATGAAGATTTCTTTCTATTCTGCTGCTATGGCATATTCGCTATGGCACGCGGCTTTTATTTACAAGGGGGTGACTTGGGCTTGGGGTTATATCATTCTTGCACAAGTTTGTTGCAATTTCAAACTTTTGATCGATGGCGCACACAATTAGTAGCTTTGGTCCACCGTCTTCCACACGGGAACAGGCTCTTGGGCGCCGAATATACACGTATTTTTACACCATGAATTATGCGATATGCAATGCTTTCGATTGTGAATTTTGTTATTATTGGATACTCTTGAGTCGTATCTTTGGAGTATTTCACTTTTTCCTCACGGTGCATCTCCGCCTGGCTGTTCATCTTCAACACCGCATTGACTTCTCCTCCCTTGCCGCTGACATGAAGGATCAAGAAGGAGTTAACCAGCATTGCCTTGATAGGCGAGGTTAGCGACAGACTAATATGCCGCCCAGGATATTTCCTCTATTTCGCCTACTCTGATTGTAGCCATTCATCTAAAGAAAATGAGTATGTGGATGGTACTCAGTTTTCCAGAGATGGCTGGTCGAGGTAGCCTGTTTAAGCTCTGGGTCTGTGGCCGTCATCTCCTTTCATTTCCGTGGAAAAGTATCCCGCATACGTACCGTGTTGGCGAGATGGTATGGCATAGTCGGGAGCTAGTGGATGGCTGGCTTTGTCTGTGTATTATGCTCGATGTAGGACGCGGTTGAAGAATATGGAGGTAAGCCGGTGTTGATGTTTTGTATATCCAAGGTGAAAATTCCAAGTTGGCCGACTACCAATTCCCTCCCAGAATCGAACATCTTAAACGGCTTTGACGACTCAGAGTAGTTTCTGGATACTGCATCCAGCCCTCCACAAGGTGACCGTAGCCTTGCACGTAACTTATTTTACGGAGGTAAGGTAGGTATAGTAGATTGACGACGACAGCAATGCATCTTAGTCTGGGGGCAACATCTTGTTTAGTCAGCAACGGAGTGATATCAGGTTGACAGGTAGGCATAGGATCGTATTTGATTTCCGCCGGTGTTCCAGAAACACGAGTGTTGTTTATGGAGAGAAACCAACGCAACCCCACGGAGGAAAACCGCAACGCCCATGCATCAAGTTGGCCATTCATGGTGACATGGTTCGGTGACATTGAGGGGATGGAAGTTTCGGCCCACTGGGTAAGCTTAAAAAGCTAGCTGCGCCGATTGCCCCCACACCAGTTCCGCCCGATTGCGCCGGGTGATGATCAGGGTACGCCATCGAGCAGTTACCTAGGTAGGCGGCCTCCTTGATGCCACTGCCGTGGCTAGTGTTTACTTCTTTCGTCCAGTTAGGTGTATGTTGGTCGAGGTAAAGAGGGTGAAAAGCCGTTGGTCGCACAAGAGACTTCTGTTTGGTGTCATTGTCATTGTCTGCCCAGGGTGGTGCGGTGCATTGGCGCATGTAGCTTTGTTCTAGGAATGTGGTAAAGTAAAGACAAAATGCTTGCACCTTGAGGCGTCGAACAATCAGGTACCGTAGTGTACCTACGTACCTACTATCTTGGGTAAACCAAGGCACAGAAACACCCCAAACGCAGGGAGCTCATTGGAGTGTCGTTTATACCTGTTGCTGCGGGGGGATATGCAGCTCCAGCGTCCTGCAGCAGGTGTCGCCAAAAGAAATGGATCCCAGCTGCCTATTGCGGACAGCTCCCAAAGTTCCACCATCATGGTCCTCTCATCATCACTGGGGGAGCCAGGCAGCCTACCTTAGAATCCCGTCATCTGCTACCGCCCAAAGAAAACACAGCCACCTTTGTTCTTCTTCATATCAACGCCTCACCCGCCCCCGTCGTGCATCATCGCTGCATTTCACCTACATCACCCGCGACGCTAGACGAGTTTTCCATACCTGCAACATCTTGCACATTTGCCAATTCCCACCCTCACTCGTCTGGGTCGCATTGTTTCAGGTTTCCCACTGCTTTACCTACTCGAGCTCAAGCTCAAGCTCAATTCCGACGTCAAGGCGCCCACACACCCAGAGATACTCTCCGCAACATCTATTACCCCTCCGACTCACCACATTTGTTCCGCAAACACAACGAACCACGAAAGATCAGACACCAGACGAACTGCATAAAAAGCCCCAAAACCTTCTTCCCCCCCCCCCCCCCCCCCCCCCCCCCCCCCTGCACCCCCCCCACCGCTCTCCCTCCCCCCCCCCCCCACTTTTCCACCACCACACACAAACAAACAAACAACCCCCACCAGCAACCACAAAAAACCCCACCCTCCCCCCCCCCCCCCCCCCCCCCCCCAATTCCTGAGGATGTGTTTCGGCAGCAAGGCCGACAAGGATGATAGTCCTGCCCCGCGTCCCGCGCAACGTCCTTCTTCACTACAGCAGCAAGACACCAAGATGACCAGCAGCAATCAGCAGCAGCCCCAATACGCGCCGCCGGCTGGTCCGCCTCCGGGGCAGCATTCGGCCCAGCAGCAGTATGCTCCTCCTCCCTGCCCGCCTCCGAGTCAGACGTACGCCGCCCCGAGTGGTCCGCCGCCAGGCCGGGCTGATGAATTTGCGCCTCCCTTGGGTCCTCCTCCGTCCCATGGAGGATATGCGCCGCCATCGGGACCTCCTCCCTCACACCAGCAGAGTGAGTACGCGCCGCCTCCGGGACCTCCGCCGGCCCGCAATGACTATACTGCTCCTCCTCCGGGCCCCCCACCATCGGAATCGAAAAAACACGACTGGGAGACGGCGGTTCCCGATACCACCCTCTTCCCACCGCCCCCGGCCTTCTTCAGCGGGTTTGACCGTTCCCCTGCGAACAACTCTACGGAGCAAGAGGCTGAAGCTGGGGAGGCCTGGGTGGCCCAGTACCCTCTCGTCAAGCCTATCAATCTTGACGCTAGTGCTCTCGAGGCTTTGCGCACGCACAGGATATGGCTTCTCCAGCCTCAAGGATTCCGCGGCACAATGGCCCAGCCCGTCTCGGGTAAGTGGGAGGTCACGACGCAAAGGAATGCACCCGACAGCACCATCATCGGCTACCCGCCTTTATACTCGGTCAAGCACAATTCGCCTCTGGCCACCGGCAAACCCTTCAAGGTCTATTATGAAGTCAAGATTCGCGGATCGGCAAGTGAGGTAGATCTCGCCCTTGGCTTCACTGCGCTTCCGTACCCCAACTTTCGTCTTCCCGGATGGCACCGCGGCAGTCTCGGTGTTCACGGCGATGACGGACACAAGTACATCAACGACAGATGGGGCGGAAAGTCTTTCACAACACCCTTCCAACCCGGCGAGACGCTGGGTATCGGCATGTCCTTCACGGCTCAGGGCGGCAGGATGAGCGTTGAGATCTTCTTCACGCGAGACGGTAGACTGTCCGGGAGCTGGAACCTTCATGAGGAGGGTGACTCTGAGCAAGATTTGCCGGTCAACGGTCTGGAGGGATACCATGACCTGAGTTGTGCCATTGGCACATTCTCCAAGAACGAGTACGATATCATCTTTGACCCGGAGTTGTGGAAGTACAGGCCTTGAGAGCGGGTGGGCTTGGTTTATGATTGAATAGGGGGTTTCCATAAGGGTGGACTGGGTTAGCGGGCGGTTACATACTGCAATCAGGATCGTCCATACAGTACTTCTCCTCATGTCATGATTTCAATTTTACAAATGTAATTATACAGCGAATTTCAAATCTTTGCTTTGATATCAACCTCTTTCCACCACGGGTACGCCGTCGGCGCATCCTTCTCCATCGTCGCCTCGAACCGCGGCGCTCTCTTCTCCATGAAACTCTCCATCCCCTCTTTACTATCTTTCCCGCTAAACAGGTCGAAGAAGATCTTGCTCTCCAGCAGGTGCGCCTCCTCCGGACTCGCCGGCGACCTCAGAATCATGTCCCGCATCACCCTCACGGCCACGGTACTCACGTTCGCAGCGACGTCCTCGGCGACCGCCAGCGCGCGCGGGAGAACCTCGTCCGGCGCGACGATCTCGCTGAACAAGTTGCGCAGCAGCGGGCTCGTGGCGGGGTACACCCCTCCCGTGGTGCACAGATGCAGCGCCGGGCCGGCGCCGACGAGGCGCGGGAGGTAAAAGGACGAGCAGGCCTCCATGTTGAACCCGCGCCGCCCGAAGACGAAGCCGATCTTCGCGTCGCGGGAGACGATGCGGATGGAGGCGGGGAGGGCCATTGTGATGCCCACGCCGACGGCGGAGCCGTTTATCGCGGCGATGACGGGTTTCGAGCAGTTGTGCATTGCGAGGGCGACGAGGCCTCCCGTGTCGCGGTGGGCGTCGCGGTGGGGGGGGAGGCGGACGCGGTTGTGGAGGTCCATTCCTGCGCAGAAGGTCTTGTTGGAGGGGTCTGAGCCGGTGAGGACTATGGCTTTTACGCGGGGGTCGGTGGAGAGGAGGGCGTAGGCTTTTGCTAGGGAGGATGCCATTTCGTCTGTGAAGGCGTTGCGGGCGGAGGGGCGGTTGAGGGTGAGGAGTATCACTGGGGTTGGGGAGGCGGAGGAGGCGGGGTGGTGGGAGAGGGTTATTTGGGGGAGGGAGAGGGTGTTGTAGGATGTTGGGAGGGAGGACATTGTTGGTGATGGGTTCTTGGAGGTTTTGGAGGGTTGTGGTTGATGATGTATTGGATGTGGAGTTGAGGTCGTGGTGATGAGGTTGGTGGTGAGACTGTTTGTGATGGAATTTGTGGTTTTTGATGGAGGTTGAGTTATTCAGATTGAGTGGATTGTAGGGGATGGAGGTGGGGGATAATGTAGATGGAAGCCAACTTTTACGTGGATGTGCTTTGCCGCCGTCTTTGGGTTCGAGGTCAAAGGTTGGAGATGGAGGGGAAGAGCGCTTACAACCGGTACCGAGGTCCGGAATGGTAGAGTGATCAACGTCCATGCGGAGCGGCCCGGCGTGTATCAGGGACTGGCTTGGTTCTTAATTGCTGTCAGAAACTTGGAGATTCTGAAATCTTGGTTTGATCAAGTTACTTACTCATTATGAAGCCGATTAACGGGATCGATGACCAAGTTCCCGAGAGATACAGCCATGACACTTAGTGGACGTACAGTTTCTCACCGAAGCTCACCGAGCATAAGGTACTTCGGTAAAGACAATGATAAGAATGCGATAAGAGTGAGATAAGATAATCAGACAGTCTTCGCTACCGTGCATCATGATCTTGGCACAGTACGGCTGACTCAACTAACCACTTGCGCATCGTCAACGCTCCCCCCATTCAGCCGAAGACGCATTATTACAAGACACGACTCGTAGAGGAACTCTAGAGGCATGGTATATGATTGGGATGCCCACGAGAAGCTATGTTTTCAGCTCTACATCAACGAGAAGAGGTCCCTCGAGGACATCATGGTGTACCTAAAAATGCACCATGACTTTGCGCCCTGGTCAGTTTGAGTCTCTTTATCCACCTCTGCTCCCCTATGGTCTTCGTGGTTCCTCTCGCCGGCCGGACTGCCCGATCCACATCCGGCAAAGCTTACCCCCGTTCCACAACGGAACCGGGGCTGGGGCCGGGGCCGGGGCCGAATCCGGGTTAAAGTAAAGGCCGTCGGACTACACATGTCGCTCGCTCACACACATGGTACAGCAAACGAGCCTTCCAGACCCAGTTCCGCAAGTGGGATTTCCCGTCCAAGCAGAACCCTGCGCACAAGAACGGCCGGCTGGTCGCGCGCGTCAAGGAGCTGTGGGAGCGGAACCTGGCGCAGGGAGAGATGCTGGCCGCGCTGAGGGAGGATGGGTTCGACATCAAGAAGCGCGAGCTGATTCGCGTGAGGACGAGGAACCGGTGGCTTTTGAAGGCTGCGAATGGGGAGCGGTCTAGGGAGGGTAACGGGGATGAGGAGGTGGTGGCGGGTTCTGGTCGGCGGGGAGCATCTGTGGTCACTGTCGACGACGGCTTTGGGAGCCGGGGTGGTGAGGGGGTTGTAACGCCTGGTACTCTTACGGATCGGGAGATGCTGGGGTCGTCGCTGCCAGGCGAGGGCGAGGGCGACGAAGACGACGACGCGGTGGGGGGCAAGGAGAGCAACGGCAATAACAGCAGCAACAACAGGAGGAAGAGGCGGCGGCTGCGAGCCTGGGAGGCCGCGTCATCTCATGGTTCGCAACACTCCATCGCCCCGCGCTTCCCTTCAGAGACCACGCTCGACGACGCAAAAGCCATCCTCGGGTTGGAGACGGACGTATATCGTCAGGTGCGGGTCACGTTTGCGCAGCTCTGCGAGGAAGCCGGCATCGTCAAGAAGACGATCGCCGGGCCGGAGAGGTGGGAGGCCGTCAAAGCCCGGCTTGTGAGGGAGACGCCGCGGCTGAGAGCAGTGATGTGGGACGACGAGGAGTCTGGGGATGTGAACGGCAACAGCAACAGCAACAGCAACAGCAGTAACAACCGCAGCAGTAACAACCACGAGTCCAAGAAATTGGCGCTCGACGTTATATGTACGGACATCACGAAGCGGGCGCGGACGCTGGAGAAGCGGCTCACGCTCGCCGAGGCGAAAAATATCCTGGGCGTCAACCCGGAGGAGGCGAGGGATCTCCGCGCGGCGTTTGAGAGGATATTGAAGCGGGAGGGGCTCGGTTGCAAGTCTGAGGCTGGGCCGGCGCAGTGGGCGGAGCTGAAGGCGGAGTGGCAAGCTGGGTCGGAGCTGGTACGGCGAGTTCTCGCTCCGCCGGGGGACGAAGGAGACGAAGGAGACGGCGGTGCTTCTTCAGTGCATGCTCACGCTCACGCTGAAAAGGTGCGGGCTTTGGATGTTCTTGCGAAGGATGTGATGAAGAGGTTGAGGGATGATGCCTCGAGGCGGGAGCAGCCACAGAAACGAGGAGTCACGCAACAGACGCAACTAGTTCGCGACGACGCGAAACGGCAAGAGGAAGTCCAGGCAATTCAGGTCCGGGCCCAGCCCGCACAGCCAGAAATGGCTGATGCTTTGGAAGACGAGGATGACTTGGGCGGCGGCCAGTACGTCGATGCCAGCCAGGTATCCGTACCGCCGTCTATGGGACTCATGCCCGGCTCGGGGGAAAGCCAGCAGCCGCAGATGCTCATGCCCACCGTGTCGATGCAGGTCCAGGCCGCCGCGGCCGCCGACCCGATGGGCCACTCCGCGGCGAGGATCCTCTCATCGGCGCTCCTCGGGCAGCCGGACATGGGGCTGGAAACCCACCACATGGGCTCGTCTCTCCTCCTAGCAGCCGACGCGCAGGCGGCGTTTGTAGACCAGCAATACGCGCAGCAATACGCCGTAGCTGCTGCCGCCGCAGCACAGCAGCAGCAGCAGCAACAACCTGTCTTCCACGCACCTTCGTCACCTCTATCACAGCACCAGCACCCGCAGCCGCAGCCTCCGTCTACCACGAGCATAGCCGTCTACCTACGCCTCCACCCTTCCTCCACCTTCATGGCCACTACGACCATCTGGATCGCGACGCTAAGCTCGCATTCCGTGCAGGAGCTGCGGCACGCGGCGGCGAGTAAGTTCCCGGGGGCGATTTGTCTACGGCTGGAGGGGGTGTTGAAGGATGGCAAGGGCGGGGAGATGCCGTTGGCGATCGAGCAGGACGGAGAGCTTGCTGCGTATTTGGCGCATTTGAGGGGGGCTGCTGGGGGGCTTGGGACGCCGACGTTTAATGTGCAGCTTATCCCTGGATGGAAGACTTAAGGTGCTTCGAGAGACTACCTTATTATAAGGTGAGATTAGATACTTTGGGGAGGCTTTCTACGGACAATGGGGCGCATGTTTGATATAACGAGGTGTATGGATCTATAGGATTGGATTCATGGAGTTCTGTACTTTGAGAGATCTTCCATTCCTTACAGGCAGGCCGGTGACAGTCGTTGAAATGTGGAAACGATGACGAGGAAGTTCACGGCAATTGTATCGGGAGTCTCGGGGCTTATCCGTGCCGACTTAGTATGCTTTCCCAAGTTGGTATGTAATCAACACGGAATCCCAAGCCACAAACAGTCAGCCATGGCATGTTCTCGTCTGCTGTGCACCCAACATAATGGACCATGGGTGTCTCCGACCTCGCTAGCACGCCATTCCATTAGCCAGAGTTATCCTCGGCCTTGGATAAGCGGACGGAAGGGGGGGGCCAGACGGTGAAGAAGTGGAGTTCCACACCGGCGCGGGCATACCACGGTACTACGGCAGCCCCCACCGCACAACCCTTCCCCGCTTCCGGGCCGGCCAATCCTTATCCCCGATAGGCTCGCAGGGTGCACTTTCTGCTCCAGTTCCATTGCTGCAGGCGGCTTGCATGGATTCCATTTCGCCATCCGAGCTCCAGAAGTGCTAAGACGGATGCAGCTCCACCCAGCTACAAATAATCTTTACCTGCACTACTATTCGCAGTCGTTCGCCCGCGTACGCAGTACAGCTCCTCCAACGAAGCCACCATCCCCTCCTCTCGACTTCTCCCAGAGCTCCGAACCCGGATGGCTCGAAGCCTGTCCCCTCTTCAACTTCTGATCAATTGAAGAAGCTTGTACCGCAATCTGTACCGCACTCCTGACACATCCATCAACACCACCGCCGAGTCGAACATAGGCGCAATGGCGCATATCAGAGCTCGAGCTCCCCAGGCAGCTCTGCAAGGCCTTAGGACCGCAAGCCCGGCCCCGCGCCGGCGATGTGTCGCTCTCGCCAATGGCGCTACCGCACGGCACATGTCGAGTGAGCGCGGCACGCCGAGCAACACTGAGGAGAAGCAGAAGGGCCGGACGTTCCAGGGTCAGGTCGTCGGCAGCATCACCCAGCGTCTGGCGCGCGAGAAGGCGGAGCGGGAGAGGTTCGCTGCCGAGCGAGAGAAGACGGGTAATAGCAGGAATCTGGCGTACACTTTCGGTAAGTCCTGATGTTCCGGGGCGGCGAGACGTTGCAACAAGACTTGTCACGGTAGCTAATGCGCCGTTGCGTGCTGGCAGTGCTACTCACCACGATGGGAGTGTCGTACTACCTAGGCACCCTCGTGCCCCCGAGCCCCAGCGAAGAATCGACCCTGCCGCTAGCCAAGACGATCGCGCCGGTCCACAAGCTCAACAAGGAGAACCTCGAGGCCGCCTGGGCCGACTTCGTCGGCATCGTCGGCAAGGAGCACGTCAGCACCACAAAGGTCGACCTCGAACACCACGCCAACTCGGAGTGGTCCTCGCACTCGGCCAAGCCCGACGAGCGGCCGTTCTGCGTCGTCTTCCCCAGCACCACCGAGGAGGTCTCGGAGATCATGAAGATCTGCCACCAGCGGCGCATCCCCGTCGTTGGCTACAGCGGCGGAACCAGCCTCGAGGGCCACTTCACGCCCACGCGCGGCGGCATCTCGATCGATTTCGGGCGCATGAACAAGGTCCTGAAGCTGCACCAGGAGGACCTCGACGTCGTGGTGCAGCCCGCCGTCGGGTGGGAGTCGCTCAACGACCAGCTGGCGCAGACGGGCCTGTTCTTCCCGCCGGACCCGGGCCCGGGCGCCATGATTGGCGGCATGATTGGCACCGGATGCAGCGGCACCAACGCCTACCGCTACGGCACCATGCGCGAGTGGGTGCTGAGCCTGACGGTCGTGCTGGCCGACGGCACCATCATCAAGACGCGGCAGCGCCCGCGCAAGAGCTCCGCCGGCTACGACCTCACCAAGCTCTTCATCGGGTCCGAGGGCACCCTGGGCCTCGTGACGGAGGCCACCCTGAAAGTTACGACGAAGCCCGCGTCCACCTCGGTCGCCGTCTCGGCCTTCCCCACGATCCGCGACGCGGCCAACTGCGTCGCCAAGGTCGTCGCCGCCGGCATCCCGGTCGCGGCGGTGGAGATCCTGGACGACCTGCAGATGCAGTGTATCAACAAGGCCGGCATGACGAGCAAGGCGTGGGCCGAGGCGCCGACGCTGTTTTTCAAGTTCGCCGGCACGGAGACGGGCGTCAAGGAGCAGGTGGCGCTGGTGAAGCAGCTCGCGAGCAAGACGGGCAGCAAGACGTTTGATTTCGCCAAGAACGAGGAGGAGCAGCAGGAGCTGTGGAGCGCGAGGAAGGAGGCGCTGTGGAGCACGATGGCGGTCCGGCGCGAGGGGGATCACGTCTGGACTGGGGACGTTGCGGTGCCGACGAGCCGGTTGCCTGACATTATTGAGGAGACCAAGGAGGCCATGGCCAAGAGTGGGCTTTTTGGCACCATTGTTGGGCATGTTGGGGATGGAAACTTCCACAGTGAGTTCCTTTTTTTTTTGGTCATGCGTGGGGGACGCGCATGTTTTGAAGGAGAGAGTGCTAACTTTTGATGTCAGCCATTCTGCTTTACAACGACCAGGAGCGCAAGAGAGCCGAACACCTGGTTCATAACATGGTCAAGAGAGCTGTCGAGATGGAGGGCACCGTCACGGTATGTTGTCGTCAGACCTTTGGCTAGCCCGTTGAAGTGTCCGAGATTCGCTAACATGGCTGATAGGGTGAGCACGGCGTCGGACTCGTCAAGAGGGATTACCTCCCGCACGAGCTGGGCGAGTCTACCGTCGATACCATGAGACAGGCGAGTTCCCCCCTTCGGTGCTTGTGATTGACTGGGAACTGAAGTGCTAATACGATGCTTCGTCACAGATCAAGAAGGCTCTTGACCCCCTCTGCCTGCTCAACTGCGATAAGATCGTCAGAGTACAGCCGCCCAAGGCTGGCGAGGTGAGCGAGTGGTAAAAAGCGGCGGCGAGGTCGAGGAGCCTATGGGTTCTTGATTCCGGGCTCTGGTGTAAGATGATTAGGGGGACAGAGAGGAAGCAGAACCTAGATGGCATTATTAAACTCTTGTATATATACATCTCCCTGATGCGTCCGGCATTCACCTAATTAGCTAGGGCCGGCGCACAATTGACAAGCACTTTTTCCAAGAATTGGCATGGGTATTGTTCGTCCCCAGACTTTTGGTGGGTGGTTTGGCCAAACGATTGTGATCCGTGTTTCGCGGGTGCTGCAAGGCGTATTCACAACAATAGGACGACATGAAAAGAAAGTAACTTCCATATCGCCAAGAAAACCAAAATGATGTTCGCTCAATGCTTTCTGGAGGCATTTATGTCTTGGAGATTGTCCAAAAAGCGAAAAATGAAAGGGACGAGACTCGAACTCGCGCGGGTTACCCCACCAGGAAACAGATGTTAAGCTGACCTTAACCTGGCGCCATAACCAACTCGGCCACCCTTCCGTGATGATTGATGACGGAGGAAGCTCAAAGCACTCTCATATAGGTCAAAGCCAATCTTTTTTTTTTCGACGTCTTCGCCTTCGTCTGGGTCTTTCGTCTTCGTTGATTGTTTCGTGTTCCTCTTTATCTTTCTACCGATTCCTAGCTATTGGAGTGTATAGTTGCTTCCTTTATTTCATTTTACGATGTCTTTCCTGGCGAGCTAAGGGCCGGTGTATGTGTATGCGCATTGCTCGAAATGGTTTCGACTTTGGAAAAGGATTCGAAAGGTGCAAAATATTGAACGCAAACTCCCAGGGTATACAGCGAATGAGACTAGGAGAAATTTTAATTCTAGGAATGATAGTGATTAATTGCCAACATAAGAAAGAGGTGGTATTGACCTTTTTCGATTCAACCACTCGGTCATCGCACCTAGGTCGTCCGATTACTCGTTACGATTGCGCGTAGGCTACCAATATGGAGACGGAAGATAGAAGACATATATCATAATGTCGACCTCGAAAGTGAAATTTTCTAATCAGGGTATATTGACTTTTTTGTTTGGGGGGGCTAGCTGTTGTTACATGTACACGTCTTTCTTTTCTATTCCTACAAACTCGCCACGACATCATCGCAACGCCCGCACAACGTCTCCTCTTTGGGCGCGATATACCGCCAGCAGCGCGGGCACTTGTGCTCGTTTGGCGGCAACACCGAGACCGTCCCCTTTGCGCCGTTGACCTCGAATACCTCGTCGTACCGCCACTCGGGCTGGTTGGGTATCCCCTTGTTGGTCTCTACCGAGGATACGACAAACATGGCTTCCAGCTCTTCTCCATACTTGGCCAGCACGCCGGCCACGGCTTGGTCCTCGGTCGTGACAACCACAGAAGACTGCAGCGATGACCCGAGGACTTTGGCCGCGCGACCCTTTTCCAGAGCGGCCTTGACGGCGCCCTGGACGGACATCAGAACGGGAACATCCTTGCGGAGGGAAGCCTCCCCGATGGCGGAGGGCGCTCTGCCGTGGACGAGCGCGTCATAGGGGGTGTACAAGGGGTGGAGGATGCTGCTGTCGGCCTTGATGTACTCGGGACGGTGGTCCCACGCCTCCTCGACCAAGAGCGGCGTCATGGGCGACAGCATGCGGAGGAAGCCGAGGAAGATGGGCTCCAGCACGCCGCCCCCGTCGCCGCAGTAAAGTCGGTCCTTCATCGCCTCGAGGTAGAAGGCGGATAGGTCGTTGGCGACCCAGCGGTTGAGGGCGCTGAACGCTTTGTAGAACTCGTGTGCGGCGAAGGCCTTTTCGACTTCCGCCATGACGTCGCGCAGCTGGATGAGGGCGATGTGGTCCAGCGTCGTCGTGGGCGCGGTCCGGGCGGACTCGTGCATCGAACCCGTTAGCATCTTGATGATTGTGCGGTACTTGACCAGCACGGTATGGACGGACTTGAGGACCGCCTGGCCGATGGCTACGTCTTTGGTGTACTCTGAGCTGGCGGCCCAGAGACGGAGGGCATCTGGACCCAGAGCCTCGTAGGTTGGGGCGGCGCCGGCTACCTTGGCCTTGCCTCTGACCTTGATCGGCGGCAGGAGGGTGCCGTCCATGATTTGACCGGGTGAAATGGTGTTTCCGATCGACTTTGACATCTTCTTGCCGGTGTGGTCAAGCGTGAAGCCGTGGGTGATGAGAGTCTTGAAAGGAGACTTGGGCTGCGCTTGGGAGGTTGCGTCGCCCTCGGCCCTTTGGGCAGCGACGTACGAAAGCAAGCTTGACTGGAACCAGCCGCGGTGCTGGTCGGATCCCTCGAGATAGATGTCGGCTTGACCCTTACTCTCTGTCCAACTGCTTCCGCTGTCGAACCAGACATCCATTGTGTCGGTACCACGTCTGTAGCTTCCTTTCAGAGACGGTGCAAACCAAGCGGATTCATCGGCAGCATCAGAGAACCAGGCATCAATACCACGCTTCTGGATGACCGAGATGATGTGGTCGACGGATTCCTCTGTCACTACGGCGTCTCCATTGGCATCATACAAAGCGGGAATAGGAACGCCCCAGGCACGCTGGCGAGAAATGCACCACTCACTACGACCCACAACGAAGCTTTCAAGGCGGTTGCGTCCGGTTGATGGCACAAATTTGACTTCCTTTAGGGCGTTGAGAGCGTCATCTTTGATGCTACCGACATCGGCGAACCATTGAGCCGTCGACCGCATGACCACGGGCTGTTTCGTCCTCCAGTCGTAGGGGTACTTATGCTTGTACTTTGCTGCCTGGAGAACATCGTCTTCAATCAGGGCGAGAACGGCCTTGCTACCGCCCTTGAGGATCGAGGAGGCTTCGGTCAGCTTTTCTGGATCGTCTGGGAAAGCGTCACGGGTGAAATTTCCTTCGTCATCGATGGGTGCGAAGGCATCGATGCCCAGTTGCGCGCAAGCCTCGTAGTCCTCGAAACCGTGACCAGGAGCGATGTGAACGAGTCCAGTTCCAGAGTCTGCTGACACAAACTCTGCGTGGATGATTGGTTGAAGTGCAGAGTTGGCCCCTTGCAGCCTGTTCTTATACTGCAAGCCACGCAATTCGGAACCCTTGATAGACGCCACGATGACCTGAGGCTCCTGTTCGGGGAAGAGAGCCTTAACGGCCTCAAGACGGCTGACTGCAGTGAGGTATGCGCTTCCGTTGACGGCGATTATGGCATAGTCCAATTCTTCGTGAATTGCGATGGCTTTGTTCGCCGGGAGTGTCCAGGGGGTTGTCGTCCAGATGATGGCGTAGAGCTGGCCAGTAAAGCCGTCCAAGGAGGGGCCGCCAATGACTGGGTATCGAACGTAAGCCGCCGTTGAAACATGGTTCTCGTTGTACTCCAGCTCGGCCTCCGCCAGCGCGGTTCTTGAGGATGGCGACCAGTATACGGGCTTGCTTTTGCGGTAGATGAGGCCTCGCCGTACCATCTGCTTGAACAAGCGCAACTGCCTGACCTCGAAATCGGGGTCCATTGTCGTCCATCGCGCGTCCCAGTCGGCCATGACGCCGTACGAGCGGAAGCCCTCCATCTGCTCCAGAACTGTGGTGGAAGCGAGCTGTCTCGCAGCCTTGCGGATCTCTACCGGAGTCATGCCCTTGCCGCCTGACGTGCCAACGGCCTTCATTTCGATAGGGAGGCCATGGCAATCCCAGCCGGGCCTGTAGCGTATGCGATATCCTACAAGACTGGCATTAGGCGACGACGAAGACAGCGACTCCGGGGTACTATCGGACCTTGCTGGACCTTGACTCTGTTGACCATATCCTTAAGAATCTTGTTCAAGGCGTGACCGGCGTGAAGGCCTCCATTTGCGTACGGGGGGCCATCGTGCAGAGTGAACTCGGGCCTAGAGTCATTGGATGACTGCCACTTGTAGAAGTCGTCGGCGGATCGGCGGAGGTACTCGGGACGGAACTGCGAGAGCGGGCGCGGTCTAAGACGGCCCGGGCCACGGGTCAGCTGAGGACGGAGCCGAGGGGGAGCGGCGGTGGTTGCACCAGAAGACCAGAAAGCTTACGGAAAGGTAGATTTAGGTAGCCTCAGTGTCGATGCCCATGACTTCGACATGATCGCTTTGTCAGCATCACTACGAAGGAGAGGAACAGAGAGTCGAACTGCGGTGCGGTCTTTGAGGTTCGGCCATTGGATGAGAAAGTCGAAAGCCGGAGCTTCTGGACGCGGCACCGGAGCTGGACGACGCGATTCCGAGAAATTTTAAGTGGGTCCTTGTTAATTGCCTGAGGTCACTGGCGGCAGGCGCATCCAGTGTCGTGCTGCGTGCTGCGTGCAGTCGCCGCCCCGCGGGAGCAACTGCACGGGGCACTGCTGCTGCAGGACAGGGAGAATGCTACTGGTAGTACTTGCAGCGCGCGGCTTCTCAAGTATACGTCCCTTACCCATCCGCAAAAGCACACGCTTTAAACTAGGAAAGGTACTTATGTGCAGGTGGGGCAGCTCTCATCCGACGTCACGACGTGCAGTCAGGGCAACCTTCACTCATCTACAGTCATTTCACCTTCGACATCAACTTCATCATAACCTTTCTTCTGAAAGCTCCTCAGATCACTTACTACCTCGAGTTCCCTTCGGTTTCCGCGCACCACTCGACCACGTCGTATTGAGCATAGACCTCTTCAGAAAGCCATCTCTCCACGTCTGAGCAAAATACCACCTCGAATCCAGGCTTGAGTTCATGCTGCACGAGCCTCACTGCAACTGCGTCTCATAGGAAACAGCAACGATGGCGCCTCTACGCCGATATTTGAGGATCACAAAGTACTCCGTTCTCGAGTGTCGCATCTATCTCGACAATCCGGCATTGGCACAAAGCTGGCTTCTCAATCCTCGGAACCCCATCTTACCCAAGGTCATCGAGAGCGTCCGTCCATTGGTGTTACCAAAACTACGTGAAGAGAAGGAGAGAGAAAGGGCAAAGAAGAAGAGTTCTAAAAAGAAGACTATCAAGGATGTTGTTGTCCAAGGTTGGTCGTCCTGTTTCGAAGCCTCACTCACTGTCACCATCCCGCTCAACCCAACCCAACCCTCGCCGTCGTAATCAGCCCGGTCCAGACCATTTCTCGAACCGAATAAAGTTGGCTGATCATGACATCTGCCAGATGAGTTTGAGGTCTCCATGTTTTTGACCGAGACAAGTACGCGCCATTCGCTGCTCACTAAGCACAAGCACTTCCGCGACAAAGCGCCCGGGAAGTTGCAGTCAAACTCCAACAAACTGATAAACGAAACGAATGACGTACCTATTGATCTAGACATAGAGTCCGAGGCAGTCGCTGGTACGGTGCCTATTCGGCAGGAAAGTGAATCCGAGGACGACACTGCCGGCCTTTCCCGCATCCCCGCTGTCGATGAAACAAGCCGGCCTCGGCGATCAAAAAGACAGCGCGGAGAACCTCGCGATGATCAAGATGCCGACTACGCGACGACCTCGGACAATGATGCTGGCGCCGAGGCTTCGGCGATTGAGATAGACTCCGACGACGATGCTCCCCGGCCGTCCAAGCGTGTCAAGAAGCAAGAGACTGGGTCCGACCTAGAGGAAGACGGCGACGACAAGAAGAAGATGGCAATGGATGTCTCCTATGAAGGTTTCGCGATCTACGGTCGTGTGCTTTGCCTCGTTGTCAAGAAGCGCCAAGGTCTAAGATTAGCATCGTCGACTGCAGCTGGGGGTGCCAAGCAGCCTGCAGGTCAAGCCAGCATGGAGAACTGGATCAGCTCTACCCAGATGCCCAACCCTGGTGCCGAGGAGGACGCACCATGAAGACTAGCCGCTAGGCAAGAATACCTTGGCCCTACAAAACTGAGTAGATCAAAGTGACTTCACATCGTGGGGGGAGCTCACTCAGCTCACCGGCATGAATAACCGATGACACAATGGCAGCTCACTTCGGACCAACTTTTGAAAATTTGACACCTCTGTCACTGTCATTTGTTGGCATGCTTCGTAAAGTTTGGCCACCTTCGACCGATAATCACGCTATTATCCACCCGTCGTTTCGTGTGTCTAGACTAGCCAAGTCTCTTTGCAATAGATGCGCAACGTTAATGGGACACTCTCACCGCAAACTCATCGAGATCTGGGGTACGAAGCAAGAATACGCGGCTGTTTCGAGAAAGCCCCGCTGGGTGCCCATTACGAAAGCGACAATGGTTCAAGAAAGATTCACACTACACGTGTTGCTGGGATATTGTGCAGGCCAAGCCTTGACGCAAGCTGGGGAAAGGCAAGGTCATCCCGAGCTCCGCCTTCGGACCGGCGGAAAGTCCGCCAAACGGGCCTTGTAGGGATATGTCGGGCTCCTACACCGGACTATAGCACGCTTATAAACGCCGTCTTATTCACCGGGACAGTCCCGGATTGCCATAGCTCCAATACGGCATGGTGCCGAAGTGGCGATCCAGATGAGCCATGGGCAACAGTTGCTGTAAGCGTGCACGGTTGACGATGCTTACTTACACAGTAGGCCAGAGACAAGTGAAACGAGCTCGAAGGAAACCAAGTTGGTTGGCACGTTGGCATACGCCAGCCCAGCTGTTCGGCTTCGGGCAACAGAGAGCATACGACGTTACGATTCAGTCCCAATGTCACGCCAAGGCCGCACTAGCTTTGCAAAGTTCCCGACCTGCTGGAATCATGAACTTCTCCTGCCGTTTACGCAGATTTCGTATTCTGCCTTTACCGCCCCTCTTCTTGTCTGTCGCGGATTCCTCTTGGCGCCGTATATGCCTCTACAACTCCGACGATCGTAACGATCGTAACGAAATCGACCACGAGGTCCTCCTAGGCGGAAGGAAACCCTAGTCTAGGCTTCGAGTTTGAGGAGGCTGTATGAAGCGGTGGACGCGGAAACGAAGCTGAGTTATCGGCCGAGGCAGCCGTTCCCCGAGGAGATCAAAGGCACCGTAGCTTCCAAGCGCATGACACATGACTTTAAGCGCAGGCGACTGTGACATTCAACTCTCTCCTGGAAAGGCAGACAGGGCAAATTTCCAATCAGGAAACGCCAGCAAGGATGCTACTCGCTATTGCTTCCTAGATGCGCAACATCGATGCCAAACTCGTCAAACACGCGATGGAAGGCTGATCTTACATTCGTACCAAAATACATAGCTCGAGAAGATACATCTCGACCAAGTACCGAAAGACATCTGCCTGTGAAGCTTCAAATCCCCACCCTTGACGCTGCTTACGGTCGTAGGATAGGTACTCGGTCGAATTGCTGCTGCACACCATCATTTTCAGAGACCAAGTGGCTAAGAGTCACGATAATGACAGCCTAACCTAGTTAATTCGCCTGATCACAAATCAGTGTCGGCTTACTGACAGGCAGAGTCACGCTAGCTTCCCGTCTAACCCGCCCAGCACGGACTCGTGGTCGGACGATTTGACGAGAGACTCTGACGACATGATTGGAGATGTCGGACGGCGGAGTGGCTGCAGAGCTGTCTCTGATCCTTGCCGCTGTACAGCCGGATCGCCAACTCTTAGTAGAACGGAAGTGGCTTATACGGCAGCTCTCTCATGGACAAACATCATGGATAATGATACGCCTTGCAGCTTTCAACCTCGTTGCGCTGCACAGCATATGCGGCAACGATAAGAAGAGGGCATCTTTGCTACTTACCCCGCCTAAGCTGACGGTTTAGAATTGATTGCATTTGAATGGTGTCAGCGAGGCACAGCGAATCCTCACCGTCAAAAATGCAACCCCCCAGCCTTGAGTACACATGACCACGCACTGCCATGGGTCGACGGTAGAATGAGGGTGTGGACGATCGTTGAAGCGGTGATGGCACAACACCCGGTCTTTCGGGCCATGGGCGTACCAGAAAACGAAGCCGAGGAAACAGTGAACTTGCGATTTAGCCTCCTCCCAAAGCGTCAACCTGCATCACCTACTGGCCGATCAACCGTTTCTCTCCCCACCAAGCCGGTTGATGTTCACTACCCGTACGGATAGGGCAGCAGAGAGTAGCGTATCCGTACAGACCCAACGTCGATGGCCCTTGTCGAGGGACCGGACGAAACTGTCCACAGAGTCCGTAAAGCGTCTGCCTTCTCTACCGTTTGAGCGGGACGTGCGGGCATTTTGACGCAAACCGAGTTCTGGGTTTGCGCGTCTCAGAGGCACCCTTGACGCAAGGGTATCATCACCCGGAGTTAGGGAACGGCAACCTTTTCGACGTTTTGCCCTCCTAAATGAAGCGAGAGCCGGTCATACAAACCTCTTTCTCCCCGGGTTACCTCTTTTTGACATGCTCGGCCGACGGACTTTCTGGGCAGCGGGGGGTTCGCGGCGGGTCGCGGAGGTGGGTCACCATGACGGCGACTACGGCGGCATCGTATGGGGTAGGGGAAAAGGCAAACCTGAGCTGAGTCCTCCGTCACCTCGTCACGGAGAATGAACCTTGGGACCTCCGTTTGTTAAAGACCTCTTCTGGTAAGTATGGCACGTTGTCCGTGACTTGTAAGTGCCCCGCAGCGTTGTCCCTTGCTGCGGGCGACGATAAATTGGAATAGCTTCAAGGGGCCGTGTGAGATGTCTCGGGAAGCGAGAGACCAAGGCGAATAGTACAGTAATACAACTGAGGCCTTCTCAGAATCCGTCGCCAATTTTCCCCTTGTACCTGCAGTAGCGGTCGTTGATCTTTTTGGGACGGGAAGCTGTTCTATTGGAACTACTACGAAGCAACGGCACCAACAGCAAGACCGGCGGAGTTCAGCTGACCAGCGATGGGCTGTGTCGAGCCAACATCAATCAGGCTTCGACTGTGCGTTCTTGGCTCGCGAACTATCTGTAATTCGCACCCCGTCTCTGCTGAAAGCCTGATGAGCAAGAAGCTTGCAGCAGCCAGGCCAGGTGTGACCAACTGAGCTGCCGCCGTCGCACCGCCCATCACACCTGAGCTTGGGGGAGGTCCGGGCGTACGCAGTACACATCAGCAGCAGCCAGCGGCTCGCTCGCTCGCTCGAAGAGATCCCTGTTCGAAGGTGTCCAAGGTGTGGTGTGATCGTCAGGGGTGGGTTGTTGCCCGTCGGCCGGCCCCTTGCCAAACACCACGTGGGAAATACGGTGAACTGAGCCAACAGAGCGGACGCCTCTGTGCTTCCCGAGCTCTTTTGGGGGCCACTTTGTCATCATTCTCGGCAGAGGGGGGGGGGAGAACGGTGGACGCTTTTGGGGGCTTGCGTCGCACACCTCGTGTCACTGCGGAGCGAGACGAGAGTTGAGGAGAAGAGCATGTTTCAGATGCATCTGTATGGCCTACCGTCTCTGAGTTCTCATTGGTTACACAACGAATCGAAGGCTGGAGGCAATGAGCTGTGGTCCTCTCTTGACAAGAACGACGATGCCGAGGCTGCCGAGTAAGAGAGTTCCTGTGGCAGCGTGGCTTGGCCGTTCTCGGCCGACTACGCATACGGAAATCGTATATCGATATTAAGAGACACGTCAATCGCCTCAGAGAAAACACCCGCGGGGCACCGAGTATACTTGGGGCGGATTCGGGGGCTGTGTGAGAGCATTTCAAAACGGACACACGGGCTGACTGCGATTTTCTGAGATGTGAGATGAGTGCGACGGTCACTCGGTCGATGAAGCAGCCGCCCGAGACCACAGTCTGGCACGCAACAGGCAAAGGACGGGGTTGCGGGCGATCATTGATGGCGCCAGGATCTTATCAGTTACCTCAAGTCGGGCGATAATGTCACCATCGCAACAAAACTGCCACTGGAGGTGGATGGGTACGACGCGCCAGCCGCAGCAACCCCAATTCATGGTGGAATTCGTCTGCCTGCATATGCCGTGAACCGTGGCACTATTTGTTGCAGCATCCAGTATCCATACACATTATCAAGTAAATCAACACTATCGTGTTGTCTCTGACCTCGCTTCAGACCCCGCCCCCAAGGAAATATTGATGCCAGGCTTTTCCTTTGCGGTAATTGTCCGACAGCGGCGGCATTCCTGCAGGTTTCTGAACGGGGGTACACGGCATACACTTTAAAAACGCCATGTGTTGCACACAGCCTAACCGAAGATGATGGAACATGCAGCAAATGGCGGGCGGCGAGGCGTCCAACTATCTGGGTATTTTGGATCATCCGTTTTGACCGGGGAGAGCTCCAGGACCTTGATGCCGCTCGAAGCTCGAACAGCTGAGGCAGGCAGGGGAATGGGAATGCGGCGGAAGAGATGGATGTTGCTATGAAAACGCCGTCTTTACGGTTTCCTGAATGCTATAGGGCTGCTAGTCGACCAAGAGGTAGACAAAGGCTCCATGTCTCCGGGCAGAGAGACATCAGTCGCATGAAGCGCTTCAGCCACTCGAACCATCTGTGCCACTCTCTTCTCATTTTTTGATACTCATCGCCTGGAACGGACTCGTCACAGATTTTTAATGTGATAATGGTACGACTTGTCAGTTTTACGCCGCCGCCGGATGGCACAATCCAAATCAAACATCAGCTGAACAGTCTCCTTTCGATCGCGGAGGTCGCCGGTTGAAACCATAGACAACAGACGGACAGACAGGCCTCTGACCGATCATCGTGGAAATCTGTAATGTATCACAGGAACGGACCTACAAATCTTTGGAGGCATGAGAACCTTTTTCGAGGGGCGTTGAGACAATGCCAATGTTTTGCCTGCGCAACATGCAGATAGGATAATACTATGTTTCCCGCAGTGGCCCGGCGTTCGTTCATCAACCCCAAATCGCGAACTACTGGCTCTAATCAACCCAGGACAACAATAAAATATCAAATAATCATCACCTTACGGTACAATTTTCGAAATTGCTTGGCTCCGTCTCAGACCGGTGGCTCGCGCCGAGTATCACCTACCGTACGCTTCTCGTCTGATATCTGAACAGTATTCGGTCATGCTCTCAGGTAAACCCCCGTCTGAGAATAGAATACGGTGGGAGTGAGTGGTGCTGGAGAAACTGGAGAAGTTCGATCGTGACACGCCTTGTCAATCTGCCTGCCCGTCATGAGGGGGTGATTTGCACCTGGTTCCCAGCATCCCCAAACGATTGCGACGCCCACCCCGTATCCAAGGTTCCGCATCTCTTGCTCCTGCAGCTCGATTTAGCGGTGTATTGCGTGTGCACGGTCGGGCGGGTGGAGAGCAGAGGAGAAGATCGTGACCATACTTGACACCAGTGACACCGTCACTTTTTTGTCACTTTCTTTTTCGAAGATCCCCTGTTCCGACGACGGCAGGCAGCTCACTGACAGAAATACGGAGCGAAGGAGTCAATGGCGTATGGCCCCAAGGAAGTCGACCGAAGTGCCGAATTAACCCCCCAAATTCTCCAAGTCTCCAAGCCCGGCGTCAAAACAGGGTTTTCTGATGGAATCATTTTGATCAGATGATGGGTTTCTGTATTTTCTGCATTGGACCTCCTCTTCGGAACCAACACATGGTACGGATAGCGTCTTTTTCGATCACATTTTCCCCTGGTTGATCATCAGTACGGTTACGCGATGCAAGGATGTAAAACAAGGATCTTCTGCAGAGAGACAGCAAATGCTGCAGGATTGCCCAATTCGGGCAACCCGCCAAACTAACCTGTATGAGAGGATGTTTCTACCGTCGCAGTGACAGCTTTCCGACGTCGCGAGATCCTGCCATCGTGGAGGAAGAAGCAAAGCTGCAAAGAGCTACCTGGGGAATTACACCTTGGCCCAAACTCCTGAGATACGGAGGTTCTCGGCCGAAGACGAGGAGGAGCTCTCCAAGTTTTGTTTGGCCCAACTGCAGTAGTTCTGAGTCAAACTTCAACCGGTTCCTGGTGAGAGTTCACGATGGATTGCTAGCTAAGTAGGCAAGTTTCTGCTAGCTGAAGCGGCAGGCCGCAGGAAGTAGGTATCCGCCGTATTAGTTGACACTAACTTGACAGGCGCTAGAGACATTGGGGGGGAAGAAAAAGAAGTCCATCTTGTCCTCGATGATCGTGAAATGTTGCCTGGATCGAGGGCTTGGGGCTTGTAAGCGCCCGCGAGCACACGGACTCTTTGTTCCTGGGCCGAAGGGAAGCCTCTCCCGGTGCCTCGGTTCCTGAGCAAAACTTGATTGAGAGAGCTGGAACAGGGCAAATGGGTATTGGTTTTTCACGCGAACTAGTGAACGCAAGCACTTTAGTGTTTAGCCCTCTTTTGTGACGAGTACACGATCCTGCCGCTGCCTGCCAGTCTGCCAGAGAAAAGACGGTGCGCGCCTCTATCTAGCATGTAGTATAGAAAAGAAGCAAACGTGCGTACGCCGGACTATGGTACTACGGGCAGTCGGGCACCCATCAGTGATCACGGAGGATGTGATTTCTTGAACGGCATCTCGACGCGACGTAGACACACACCCCCTTTCTCTCCTCCCCCCCACGGGCGGACGGACAAGTGACGACGCGTTCGTGGGAAGTAAAGCAAGGCACAGTATTCATCGAAAGACGGGATGCTGCAGCTGGTTCGTGTACGGGTAGTGTACACTGTCTCCAACTTTTCCTTCTGGTTGGTACCGGTCCTCTGGAACCCGTCACGGGGACACGTTCGATGCGACGCTGCATCTGCACGATGGATGCCAGGACGGAGAAACGGGATGGGAACGGTGAGGCACGGCTGGAACGGATGACTCACAAATTGGCATCTTTTCTTTTCTTTTCTTTTCTGGTCAGGTACCTTGGGTCTCACACCGTTCTGGGGGTTCCGAAATTCTCATTTCACCGTATTTCCTTGATGACCAATTTTTCTTGATTTCTTGATGTTTTTTCTTCCATTGTACGAGACAATGATACCCTGACCGGGTTCCGGCAGTCGGTACCCCGTCCGGTGTGCTGTGTGTTCCAACAATAGCGCAGAGCAAGGTACTCCATACTCTGGGTCTGCTGACTGGCAGAAGAAAGATCGACGACGTGCATTTCGTGGGGCCCGGAATGACGATGTTATTCCCACAACCGTTTTTTGTGGGGGAAAATCTGCTCAGGTGAGAGTGGGAGCGAGAGAGAGAGTTCGTGTAACGGAACCAACTGGTTCCCTGCAACACTGCAGCTTACATCACGCGCATCTCGGCAAACCGAGACGAACGAACCCGAAACCCCAGCCTCGTGGATTTCCGTGTGTTGGTTGGTGACAGACTGCTGGATACCGGAGAGGCAAGGAAAAATACGGAGAGAAACCCCAACTCCAATTTCGATGGAACTGGATGGAGGCGTTGCCAATTTACGGAATACCTTCTAGAAAATTTGCCACATGTTCCTGAATTTCCGACAGAGTTCTGGGGCGGGTTCTGACCTTGCAGAGGAAGAACGGACCCGAATTTTGGATGCAAGATCCCCTCATCCCAGTCAAAGTGGGCTTTGTTCGTGGTTCCTGGATTTTTAAGAAAAGAATTTCCCACAATATTGGAGTTTGACGAAAATTTGACAACCACAGACAAGGACAGGGGACGCGGAGTCAGGAACAGGAACAGGAACGGTACAGACTCTGAAGTAGTAGCGGTGTAAACGGGAACGGAACTGGGGCACGGTTTGTTTAGCATTCAAGACGGAGATTTCGAATTAAAACTCATTAGTGTAGATGAGAAAACGGAGACGTGGCATTTCTTCTCCTGCCCCCCTGTGGCGAAGCGGCTCTTACACGTACATAAATTACCCGCCCAAAAATATCTGCCGGTGTTGAGATGAGGACAGACACGATGTGACAGTGGTGGTCGGTGTTGGCGTCGGAGGATATCTCTGTCAGGGCGCCGATGAAGTCCAAGCCCAAAAAGCGCTGCTATTATTGTTGCGTACGGAGTACGGGAGAATGTTCCACAGTTCCACCCGGTGCTTCCATCAGTCACCTGTATCCGTACTCCGTACGCGTCTCAGACCGCGCAAGCGTCCCATCAGCCCAATAGAATGGCATCTTCCGGGTTCCTGGGCCGGTCGGCGCATCAAAAGGGGCGTGGGAAGAAGGGCGCCCAAAGGAACAAGACAAGAGTGAAGAGCCAAAAGAATCAGACGAGGAAAGGAGGCGCTGCGGCGTTGTGTTTCGTTTCGTCCGGTCCCCTGACGCCGCAGCGTCACAGTCGCCCAGTTCAACGATAGTAACGGGTTAAAAAAGGGCGAGGATATTCTGCCAGCAGCTCCCGCTATTCTGCCA